GAAATTTTGCTTTCACAACAACATTATACTTTCACAGAACTCTGGTTCTAAGTCAACTTAGAAAGTCAAAACAAGTAATTATACTCAGTGTTAGTCCTGAGTCCAGTGTTAAACTTTTTTCTTTTAATCAACTGTCTGGTTGATATAATAGATAATTTGCTTATTAAATGTATGTATTTTGTTAGGCTGAGATGAGGAATCCAAGAGATCTTCAGAATTAAGAGTAGATTTTAAAGTCATCCTAGTAAATTAGAGGGGTTTTTTTGAAGGAAATGATTCATACTAGCTTATCTAGTTTTCCTTGGGGCAGCCTAGAGGTAGTTAAGAGTGGGGGCTCTGCAACAAAATGGTTTGAGTTCAGATAGTCATTCAGAGTACAGAGTTCTCAGGATGAGACAGGGGAGAGAATAAGCCACACCAAAATCATATTCTAGGGCTCTTGTTTTACTTTCCTATAAAAACAACTTTACAAGAACCATAATCTAATATTATGCTATTGGTTTTAATTTATAAGGAAATTTTTCTTAAAGTGCAGAGTCTAATAATAGAGACACTACACCGTAATGACTAAGAATACAGACTCAAGAGCCAAACTGCCTTGTTTCAATCCTACTTCTGCCAAAATTTGGCTGTGACCTCAAATACATTTCCTATCTCCATGTCTTAGCATCTCCATCTGTAAAATAAAGATAATAATAGCACCTATCACATTGGTATGTTGTGGGATTTAAATGAGTGAATCCATGGGAAATGTTGGAACTGAGTCTGGCATGAATTAAGTATTCAATAAGTATTGCTATTGTTGTTATTAAAGACATTCTTCAGTCTGTTATTCCATTACTAAGTCACAAATGAAAACTTGCTTTGGCTGCAAACACTATAAGCATACCTATTAAATATAACAACTAATACTGTCATTATTACATTCTCGGAGAATAGTCTCACCAAAGTTAAATTTAATGGAGATTACTTCTCCTACACTCTGTGTTCCATGGCATGATCAGCAAGTATTTCCTGAAAGCCTGCTCCACGTCTCCTACCATGCCAGATACTCCAAACACAATGGTAAAGAAATCACAGAAATTCCTTAGCAGTGTAGTGCAGGAGACAATGTAGACCGATCTGAAATGTCCTTGCTTTTTCAGTGATGTGGTGGTAGGGATGTTGGGAGTGGGAGTGGTACTTTGTATCTACTTAAACCATTTTAATCATTAAACTATCAAACCATTTAGCCTATTAAGGCATCCATTCTTGCTCTGTCACATTTGTTGAAATCATTTCTTAGATTTGTTGTTTTCTTTCTTTTCTAAATAAAAAAAATAACTCTAATTAATTGGTCTTTTACTTACTAACTTTTCCATTGCTTTTAAGCTTAGAAAATCCTGTCTATCCATAGATCCATAGGTTTTCTCCTAATTTATATAATTAAACACTTACATTTATCTCTTTAACCCCCTGGAAATACACTTTCCTTTATGCGTAAGGTGATCTCAATATTTTTTCATGGCACACAGCAATTTTTCTTACTTCTATTTAAATATTTGTTACATCATATTGTGATTACTTTTTTCTGAAATGTTCTTCATAAGACTTAAATTTTCATCTTTTTAATCTTTATTCCCAGCAGCTAGCACAGTACCTGACACTTTGTAGGGACACAACAAATATTTGATAAATGAAAGGAAGAAATATACAGTTTTATATAATTTATTCTAGACTTAAATTTTCATCTTTTTAATCTTTATTCCCAGCAGCTAGCACAGTACCTGACACTTTGTAGGGACACAACAAATATTTGATAAATGAAAGGAAGAAATATACAGTTTTATATAATTTATTCTAGACTTAAATTTTCATCTTTTTAATCTTTATTCCCAGCAGCTAGCACAGTACCTGACACTTTGTAGGGACACAACAAATATTTGATAAATGAAAGGAAGAAATATACAGTTTTATATAATTTATTCTAGAAGATTTTAAAGGCATGATGAGTTATTTGCCATCTATTCCTAGCTTTAAAAACCCAAGAGAGATTCTGTAGTAATTTTAATTCAAGATAGTATAATTCCAGAGCATCCACTGTAGTGAATATTAATGGTAATATTAATGAATACTAATATGAAATGGCTTGTGCCAGTAAGTTAAACTTTTAATTTATATTAGGAGTTGTATCTAATCAGTAACCAGGAACTCTGTACCTATATATCTATCTATCTAAGCCACCCTCTTACTGGATGGTTCCCAAAATCTAAGCTGTTCCACCTAAAAACAGTAAATTAAAAATGCATCTATCTCCTCATCAAAAAAAATTGGCATGTCTTATTAACAAAGAATGAACCTCCCAAATCTCTGTACTGTGTCATGGTTGGTGGTCATTTGGATACTGTGGAAATCATTAGTGTCTAAAGATACCTTGCCAAGATCTTCACCAAAGGAAGATACAGAACATGTTTAAGGTATTCAACCAATTTTGAATGTTAAAAATTAATAGAACTGATGTAATGAGTTGTGTCAATTCAACTGCCTGGCAAGTTTCTATACTAGTACCAATAATGTCTGTTCACACCTGGAAGCATTCTTTTCAGCTATGTCTTCCAGGAACTATGAAGATTTTTAAAAAACCAGAAGCCATTTTTGGTGTATTACATCTTCTGAGCTGTTGGCTTTCGCAGTGAATCGTCCTAGAGTAGTAGGTAGAGCCTAGAGTATAAAGATGCCTTTATGTTTTCATGCATCTTTTATCTTGGACTGCAAATACATAGTACCTATTTCCCTAACAAAACATGTTAGAGTTTCAGAAAGGATATAAAATCTGGGGTAGCTATGATTAGTTTACAGCTTGTAGTGTAATCATATTAGTTTACAGGATATAGTGTAATATTCAAAATATTGAATATTAGAGAAGAGGCTTTGATACATGTGCTATAAGACAGTAATTGGCATGGTATCTGCCAAGAGATAGGGATGATTATTAAGACTTTTGTGTCATCAAGCAAAATGCTACAAATCATGAAATTTTATTACATGATTTATGTTTAAGTAATTTTTTAAAATTTCCCTTTTTGTCATTTTTCCTCTGAGAATGTCAGAAAGCAAATTGAATGCACTAGTCTCTTTAATGCTGAAATACACTGAATAACTACATTAGTTCAAAAGCAATATGAATATGTTCTTATTTTATTTTGGAAGTGATTTGCTAAAAGTAATATATTACAGAGGCAAATCAGAATGTTTCTGGTGCTTTCAAGTATGAAAAACTCCAATGCTGAATTTGCTTCTTTCATGGGCATTGTCTCCTTGTTCCATTTGGACAACTGGTTTAAAAGAACTAGAGACAAAAATATAAATTTATGACTAAAATTAGGCTAATCTCTGTGTTCACTTCCTTTACTAGTCAACCTAAAACGATTGATTGATTATAACTCAGCACAGCCACTAGCATTAATAGGCTTGAAAATTTGGGGGCAAATTGGATTTCTTGAAGTAAGCAGTGAGATAAATAACATGGAATTGAATTCTAGCCTACAAAGGCATATTTCAACTCTGAATGTCTTACTTAGGAACTTGTCACACAAAGGGAGGAACGTGTGACAATAAGCAGAGTGCTATAGTTTAAAAATCACAAGACCTACATCTGTTTCTTGCAAATTGCTTTTCATCTTTGATCTTCTTCATTAAATGAGATTTAATGAAGTGTTTAAAAACACTGCCCTACTCAGAAATGAAATGAGGTTGTTTTTTTTTAAAGGAGTGTATAGATAGATAGACAAATTAGAGATACATAGATAGACAGACTAGATAGATGATAATAAATAAGTAGGTAGGTAGGTAGATAGATGATCCACCCATCCATTCCTCTTAAACTTTCCTCTAGGTTTCTTGGCTCTACCAGAAAATTCTCCCTGGAGCATTTATTTGAATGTACTGTGAAACCCGCAGAGCAATAAAGGCTCTGGTCTTTTAATGTTTACCAAGACTCTTTAAGTATGGCCTCTACAAAACATTTTATGTAAGTAACTCAGCTCTTAAAGATGAGGAGAAACCAGGAAGTAGTTCCCAAGCACCTAAATGTGAGAGAAGGACTTTCCTGCTTCACTTTTCTGCTTTTGAGGACAAATTTCTCTGAAAAATACTTCTTTCACTTTAGGAGAGGAAATGAGAGATTTCCTAGAAGGAATATTTAGCAATAGTTATGTGGCTCCAAATGCAAGACAGAAACCCTTTGCAGCCTAACCTGGTGGGATAAGGGAGAAAGATTGAAGAATGGCTGAAAGGCAAAATCACAGATTCCTTTTGACAGGTTTGGATTCATTCAGTTATGACTCTCCGAAGAGGGAGAAGTAGACCTTGAGTCCAGAAAACCAGCAGTTAAAGACAAGTTATCAAAAATGCTTACCTTCAAATTTAAAACTGGATAAGGTTATAAAAGAAAGCATTCTAATTAGAGGATAAGTTTAAAATGTGGATTCATTGTTAAAATTCTAGTAAAGGATTAATAAAAGAATTTAGTATTTAACAGGTCTTTTTTTTTGCTAAATTGGTTTGCTAAAAAGTATACAAATTAAATCTGAAGGAAGGCAGTGAGCTCTAACCAAATCTCAGAAAAATATGCACCTTGCTGCTATGACCTGTGTAATATACCACAGCTGCCAAACACTTAGAAATCCTGTATACACTTAAAATGTACAGAAATAAACTAACTCAGGTTCTTATGTACTAAAACTACAAAACAAAAGCTGCTGGAGTGACATTGGTAGCAGTGTGTTTATCATTAGTTGCTCCTTGTATGGTACAGTTTTGTGGACCTCCGGCTTTGTGCAAAAGACCCCTTTTCTTGTTGAATCTGCTTAGGCATGAAGTATTGATTTCTACCCCATTCCCTGTAGGTCCCACTGTGCTTATTGAGAATGACCGGGTTCTTTGGCCCTTATCATTCAGGCATTTGTTTCCCCCAGTCATGCTGGTAATTATTAATATAATGTAAATGTCTTTTCTTTCAGTCCTCCTCGCCCGCTGACTAATATGAATGACACTATGGTGAGCCACATGTCGTCAGGAGTGCCCACTCCCACCAAGAGGTATGTATGGCTTGTGCTGCTCAGAGCTGGGGACAGACCTCTGGCCTGGGAAGCAGAGCATCCTACAGAGTGGGAAGGACAGGCTTCCTTTCTCTTCCTTCAGCTGTCATTTATGTTACGTTCTACTTTTCATCTTCCTTTCTTTCCTGCTAATTCTTAAATACAGCAACTGAAAGAGTCTCCTTTGATGGTGCCTGAGGTGGAAAATCTCCATTTGTGATAGGCAGTGAGGATGGTGTCAAAGCAGATTAGACATGTTTGAGATCTTTTTTTTAACATTAAACAATATTTTAATGATCATGAATTTCAACAATTTTGCATTTGAGTTGAGCATCAACGGTCATTTCTGCTTCCTGATTAGATAGTGTAAATTGAATTAATCTCTTATATTCTCCTAAATCATTCTGTATGTGATTCATAAACATTTAAGTTCAAAAGTCTGAGTACCCCCATTTTTAGTTATACCAGGAGGTTCCTTAGGGTCCTTCAAGGAACTGGACCTCCTTTCTCCTCTTTATTTAATTTACCCTTCTCCAAAATTCTCTTAGGCAGTACTTAAAAAAACTATATAAAATGGCTTACTTTTTATTTGATTTAAACTGTTCCATGACCAAAGTAATGCAGAAACTCCCTCAAGGGCACAACCATTAAAGAATCCTTTTTAACAGTCATCGCTCAAAAAGAAAAAAAACAACAACAAAGACATTCCAACCCACTCCAAGTCCTTCCTGAAGAAAACTGCTCAGTGCCATATGTACTGTTTGCTTTGGATTAATTCGGCTATAGAAATGTCATCTCTTATAAGAGTACTTTGATTTAATACATAACGTAATTCTTAAGATCAACTGTGGTTGCTCCCATTGGCTAAAATTTCTCGAGCAGTGTTTCCAAACTTGACTGATGTGAAGATTCACCTGGGTCATTTGTTAAAAATACAGATTTCTGGAAGCACATCAGACCCAATGGATTCTGAGACCATGAGAAGCTACACGTTTAATAAGTATTCCAGGTGATTCTTATCATCAAGCAAGTTTGGAAAATAGCCTTAGAAGGCAGCTAAGGACTAAACCATAGGGCTACCCTGGAGTAGAGAATCCAGGAACTTAATCGGAGTGGTCTGATAATACAGTGTTAACCACATGGAGACTCAAGACTCTGACAGGTGAGAGTGCCAGCCCACAGCCTTGTTAAGACATTTCCAAAAGGGGAACAGCCAAGCTGCCTCATTAGGACAGAACTGAGTAGCATAGACTTTTGAGCCAGACTGTATGCACTTGAATCCTGGCTCTTGCTTGACCTTGAACAAGATTTGTATCTTTATTTTTTTAATCTGTAAAATAGGGATAATAATAGTGTCTACCTTCTGGGATCTATGTCAGAACTTAGGATATTCTTTACATTTTTTAAGAAGTAAACTGTAATGAGAGAACAGGTGGGGAAGAAACAGAATAACTTACAAATAATACCCTCTCAAGAAGGAATAGAAAGCCTCTGAAAGAGTACAGAACAATTAAACCTCTCCCACCTACCAAGATACCACAATGACCCTGGCTGGCCTTAGTGCTTATTTTTTTGTTAAACATCCATAGCATTCAGACCTAGAACCAGAATCAAAGTATCAGCTCAGGGATGTTTCCATTTCAAAACTAGGAAGATCAGGTGAATTAGTGAAAGAAGTCAGCTGTGGGCTGTTTGGTAGTTTTAGCAACGCCTCGATTACGGTTTCACTTCACCTGAATTCTCTCCATTGACTATTTCTGTCACTCTGAGTCACCTGAGTCCCTGAGGGTCCTGTGTGCCCAGTGACCAGGGCACCATTCAGTGACTGCAGCTGAACGTAGCCGCTAGAGGCTCTTAGAGGGAGTGCATCTTTCCGGACAGTGTTTCTTGCTGGAGGAGACTGGAGGAAGGAACTCAGATGCAAATACCCACCTCAGCCACCTTTGTAGAAGGACTACCCTTGAGGCCTCGTGTCACAGTAGTACGCCCCAGCCTAACAGTAAGTGGCCGGCTGCACTTGTCAGCCACAAAATACCTACCTGAAAGTTGTTCCAGGAAATAGAGAGCCTGGATGAAGATTTTATTTTAAAGTCAGCATTTCAGTAGCACCTCTTTCTAGGTAGACTCAGTCAATCCCAGAGGAGGCTGTCACTGCCTAGGCGCTGCCCAGCAGACCAGAAAGGAAGACTGCATACCGCAGCTTACCCAGAGGAGTGGGACTGGAATAGAGGCTACCTGGGAACAAGCTGCCCCCATCCTAGCAATGTAGTCCTTTGAATTTTAGGATATTTTATTTATATTCAGGATGAGATTAGAATGTAACAAATGGACATGAATTGCATAATTCACAGACTTGGCTCTTCATTGTCCCAGTTACCAAACAGTATACATTTCTAGCCAGTATTCTGTTTACTTGCTCAAGGACTCATCAGTTTGTCTTTCCTCCTCTGAATGTCGTCAGACCTATGTCTCTGGAGTCTGGTGAAAGCCAGGAGCCCAGTGCATCATGCCAGTCAACAGAGCCTTCCTCTGTCAGGGGGGTAAAGCTGTTCTCCAGAAATAAGAGCCTTCCTTTAGAATTCAGCAAAAGACATAAACCACTAGTCAGATAAGAACAGGCATGTGATAAAAATGCAGGCAAAACTTAAGGTCTGCAGTTTCTACCTTTTCAATAAGCAGTGAATGTAAAAATAATGATGGCCACAATGGTCAAAAATAATACTGTTCATCCAAATAAAAGGTCTCAAATGTAAGGGTTACTTTTTACAGAAGAAAATAAGGATTGCTTTTTACAGAAGAAAACCTTATAAATGGCAAAGATGCTTACTATAAGATACTATAAATTATGTTCCTGAGAGGTTCTACTCTAGGGACTTGCCCTATATAATATTCTTCTAATAGTCTTATGTTAATATTTCTATAATTGAGAAGAAATTTTATCTTTGCCTTCGGTTAAATAGTTTCTGGAAATGTGCTTTCTTTTAAAATAATCAGAACAGTACACTTAAAAACAGACAACAAAAATTTTCAAAACTTTTAAATCAGAGGCTTAAAGTCCCCCTTTCCTTACTCGATTCCTCTGAGGCTTGCTTCTGAATGTCTTCTTCCCCAAAGTTCAGAATTTGAACTGTGGTATTATGCTCTGTACTACTCTACTGGTTTAAGTTATACTGTATATTCAGACCAATATAGAAAATAATGCTAATATTTTTTATATTTCAGTGTCTTCTAAAACTTTGCTTTATTTATGAATATTTAAACTTTTACAATGCTGTGGGCATTTCATATAACTATGGCAGTAACAAAAACCTTCAATGAAACTTTTTTCTCTGTTCATTTGGTTGGTATATTACTGTTAACTCTTAATTTTACATATTAAAATTTAAGTTTAAAAAGCACAAATACAGTTCAACAAAATGAAAAACTCCTGATGATCTACTGGAACATTGTGCCTGTAGTTAACAATACTGTACTGATACATTAAAAAATTTGTTTAGAGCTCATGTTTTGTGTTCTTACCATAGTTTAAAAAAACAAAACAAAATCACCCATAAAGACAAAGGTAGAGCAGAAAAGGAAGGATGAAAGTGTCCATAGCACGCAAAAGCAACTGAAATGCCACCAGACGTCCATCTGTGGCTTCTCCATCCCCTGGCCTCTCTCAGTGTGCCATCCTCATTCCCTCCTGAGGAAAGCTACTTGTCAAACTATTGATGGCTTCAGATGCACACCCACAGCCTTGTCACTCATGAGGTTGTGCCCTTCCTACCTTGGAGTAGAATCTCCAAAGGAGGATTCTTACTGCCCTGGGTTGTGTTACTGACACCATCTGTGTGTATGTCAAAGGTCACACCCACTAGACCTGTATCATCAGAGCAGAGGGAGGAGCATTTCCCCCAAAGGAGGTTATACTATCAAGAACAGAAGAGAGATCTTGGGAAAGAAAAATAACAGGTCGTTGGCAGACCACTGTTTTGCTCCCCAGCACACAGACCCACCCACACCTTCCCATACACACTTCCACTTCCAGAGTTTCTCCTCTTACATAATGCAGCACTCCACCTACAGCTGCAAACGTTTGCATGCTTTTCCTGGAAGTCTTACCACCTGCTGAGACAGCACTGAGTTCTGATGTCCTGGCTGTGTCCATTCACCCACATCAGGTCCAGGTAGGTCTTTTTGTCACTCATTAACCCATCCTACCATGGACCAAATGATGAGTTTTAAGCATTTACACACTCTACAATTTACACATTACATAGAGATGTGAAAATAGGATGATTATAATTTGGACAAGGGGGAAGGAAAGTACCAGAAAACATGGCATGTTAAGCCACATTTGCCTTTTTCCTCCTGAAATACCACTAAAATGACATTCAAGGTTTTCTTTTTAAGTAAAAACACACAAGAACAAAGGAAAATGGAAGCAGAAACAAGAGCAACAACAGTTTGGAAGCAGCCAATCAGATGGATGAGTGGAAATTGGTATTACAGACTAGAGAAGCTAAAACCTAGGTCGACAGTGAGACAGCCCGAGAAGAAAGCCCACCCCAAGAACAGAATGCTCTGAAAAGGTGTACAGAGAATCACCAGCTTATAGTCTGCGTAGGAAGCACTTAGAGCCTCCAAGTGCATAACTTGGTCGCTACTCCTACCCCCTCTGCGAAAGAATTGAGGTTTATGTTTGCGTTCTCTGAAACACTATAACCTACATAAAATCCTAGTTGTGTTCATTATCTCACCCTTGGTGGGCAGAGGCAACTGGCTTTCAGACAGCCCATCGCTCCGTGCAGCGTCACACTGGAGACCTGAAGAAATCACTCTCCGTCCTGTTACTCCTCTCAAGGTGCCTGGAACTCCAGCCACAAGGGGCCGAGTTCTGTGCCCCAGGGTCCTAAAGACTACATTGGACCAATTTCTTTGCTCTGTAGTCACCTAGCAAATATTACTGTCTTCCCTCCCTGGGATGGAGAGAGTTTGCTACCAGCCACACCTCAGCTTGACTCCACTAGTCCCACTCCCTGTTACACCCAGCTTCTCTCGGTTTCCACTTGAGTCAGAACTCTTGGCTGTCACTGACAGAAGCTCAATTTGAATTAGCTGAGGGAAAATAAGAGGTGGTTTTCTGTTTTTGTAACCACACTGTAGGAAGATCAGGCATGTATATGGCTGGGCCTCAGGGGTGACCACAGCAAGGGGAACTCTAAACTCATTTAGGTGTTTTCCTGCCTCCCTCCATCCCCTTACATGCTCTTTGCTTCTCTCTACTACATGTCAGCTGCTGCTTCCCAAATACATTTCCTTTTTCATGCAGCAGGGTCTATAGCCCTGACACCTCCATGTTCACGCTGCCCTATATAATTGCCCTTCTCTTAGTTCCAACTTGAAAACTCCCAATGAACATTCTCTTTGGTCCATCTTGGATCATGTTACCCACTCAGGGTTTTTCTTTTTGGTGGCCCTACCTGGTATAACATGGTTGAATGGGCAACGGTCAGCTCTCCAAAAGTAGTAGTTTGCTGTCTCTGGAAAAGGTAGAGGTGCTGAGGAGACACATATCTATAGGCTTCTTTTCTGGGTGGTTTCTAAAAAAAAATTGCTTGTGTAAGTATATTACATCACACCCCATTTGCATAGATTTGTTTCAGGAGACACTTTTTCCCTCCACCTCCTCATTTTTATTTCTCTCAAGGGTTAAATAACACTTTCTATTCTGTTCAGTTTATAAAGGTTTATGACATTGGGGTAACACCATCTTTGGATGTTAACCGGTAAATATTAGAGCCACTAAGTCTGAGTAGTCACCAATTGCTAGCTAGGAATCTTAAGAAAGGCAAGATTTTATCAGTCAGAAAAATTTTACTTGAACACATACTACACAGGAAGGAAAAGCAGTTTTTGAAGGCCAGAAGGTGCCCAGTATAAATATTATTTCTGAGTTGTAGAAACATGACCAAGTTAAGAGATGAGTTGTACTTATATAGTCACATTGAAATGGCTTTCTGACTGGGTGTCAAGGTAAAGCCTTTATCTTGTTATCTACAGAATACAGTAGAATGACAAAAGCCACAATCTGCTGTTTTTGAGACTGAGAACAACAGAGATGTTGGGGAAACTGAGAAAGGAGGCAAAATGAAACGGGGCAAGGCAGAAGCTATCTGCATGTCAACTCAGGCCACTGATTTTCTTTCTTCCTGTGAAATGAGAAAAATAAGAGTTTGGTTGAAAAGCAAGAATTAATGAGGATTTTAGCATGGTCACAGAATAACTAGCTTGTATGAATTCTTCATGAGAATCTCTCCAAGGCAGCACAAGAATTACTTTTTTCTCTAATCTTTTTTCAGAAGACAGAGAAGCAGAGTAATTGAAAACTAACACATAATCTTACGGAACTGCAGGGTCCTCAGTGTTGGCAGATTTCCAAAGTCCAGCTGATGGCCTGGGCTAACCACCAGTTTTCAGCTGCTTCTGGGTTAGGATTAAATTCCATTTCCATTCAAGCATTAAAGGTAAACCCTTCAGCAATTTTTAACTCAGGTTAGTACAAACAAAAAGCTTGAGTATTTCTAAGTTCATATTTTAAAACCTAAGTTTGAAAAATTGAAGCTTGCAGAAGCATAGGAACTAACAGTTTTCTCCTCTCATTGGAGTGAGGCTTGGGGTCCTGAGCTGGAGCAAGACCCACATCCATATGACTGTCAGCAGAGAACAGGGGGAGAAATAACAGTGTGGGCAGAAAGGTCGTGCGTTCTGTGTTCTCATGCTCAGACTGAGATGCCCGAGGGATCCTGGGAGTGAGAACGGGCTCTGTGGATTTTTGACATGGGGGGCCGAACAAGGGGGTGGATGATTCTCCAGGTTCCTTCCTGCGTTGAGTTAAGGTACTTTTAGTCAAAATACAGAACAAAGATTTGGACAGAATGATNACACACACACACACACACACACACACACACACACACACACGTGCACGGGCCTGCACTTAGAAGGGAAATTTACAATGCTGAAATTCCTCTGGCAGTCTGGCTTAGGCCTACTATTTTTAAACATAGTTTTTCATTCCTTTTAATATCAAACTGTTACAGTATTTCAACTTACTTTAGCAAAGCAGACATTTAAAACAAATCAGGGCTGTGGTATAAGTTCTTGCTTTTTTCATGGATCTTCTTAGGAAATATCCAGTCTAATCCCCACCCCACCCCCAATCCAGACTCTTCTTTGCAACCAGAGGGATTTGGCTGAAATACAAATCTTATTATGTTGCTGTCCTGGTTAAAACTTTCCAATGGTTCTTCCCATCTGTGGTGCTGCCCAGTCGCATGGAAATGTTCTGTGCTAACCAGTGTAGCCAGTAGCCACATGTGGTCTTGAGCACTGAAATGTGACTAGTGAGACAGAGGAAGTGAATTTTAGATTTTATTTAATTTTAATTAATTTGAATTTAAACAGCCACATGTGTCTAGTGTCAGTGCAATTCTGTAGAATAAAACCCACATTCTTCATTGTGGCTTATGAGGCCATTTCCAAGGTGACCCTTTCCTAGCCTCCCCAGCCCTACCTTATTCCACTCTTTCTACAAGGCATCTGGGCTCAGAATCACTTGATCATGTGGAGTTCTGTGCGTGCTGCCTCTGCCTTCAGTGCCCCCGTCCTTTGCTTATTCTCTGTCATCTAATTCTTCCTTCTCGACTTAGCTTCAGCTTTTCCAGGAAGCCTTCCCTATTACCCCAACACTAGATTAAGTGTTATTCCTCTGTAGTCCATAGTATTTTATACATATCTTGTAGTGTAATTACCTATTTGATGCCTTTCTAGACTATATGCTTCTCAAGTGTGCAGGTGCACCAGGCTTTACCCAGAAACTGATTTGTATTCACCAAATCTTGCTGCCATTTGCCTCTTATCAGTACTTCCTCTTGTTAGGAAAGGGAATTCTCTTCAGTTGTCTTCTTCAAGCACATAGCATCTTATAACATTGCCTGCTTATTCCATTCAGGGCAGAGAAATGAAAGACATGAGTTATACTAAAATTATGATCCTAATCCAGTACCACATGGTTCACTCTAGCTGTTCCTGCTTGGTTATCTGTGACTTTCCCAACGTGGATGATGTGAGAAACCTGGCTCACATCATCCATCATCCAGTTATGTATTTGTTCAGTCCTAGTAGCATGTATAGCAATTTCAGAATTGTTGGTTTATATTTTAAATAGATTATTCAAATGTAATTCATACACCATATAATCCACCCATTTAAAGTGTACGAGTCAGTGATGTTCAGTACATCAGAGTTGTGCCACCATCACCACAGTCAATTCTAGAACATTTTCATTACCTCCGACATAGATTCATTATAGATCACTCACTGCAATTTGGAGAATCGACAGTAGTTGACAGGAGTGGAAGGAGACCAGTCAAGAGGCTACTGGAGTAGCCTCAGTGGCACTTGGAGAGAAATTTCAGATGAGGAATTATGGCAGCAGTGGAGGTAGTGAAAGTGGCTGGTTTGGGGACCTATTTTGAAAGCAGAGCCAGCAGGACTTGTTAATGGATTGGATGTGGGGCATGAGGAAGAGAAAAATGAGGAAGACTCCAGCTTTTGGCTTGATTACTGGATGAATAGTGATGCCGTTTATTTAATTGGTCAGTCTGGGGGAGTAGTAGGCGAGGAAGCGATGTAGAAAGACTTTAGAGTTCTATTTTGTATGTTAGGTTTGAGATGCTTGCCAGGCAACTAAGGGGGGATGTGGAATAGGCCATCAACTACATGATTCTGGAGACGTAAACTTGTGAGGATTACAGTAATACCTTTTTGGTAAGGTTATTCTAAAAATATGCAAGAGAACTTTATAATAAGAATCTGATCCATCACAAGTACTTTGTGGATAATGGCTACCATATTATCTTATTTAATCCTCCCAACATTTTCCAAAGTAAATATTACATGAAGCGGATTTTATATTATTATTTTACAGATGAGGGGACTAAAGCATAGAGACCTAAATGTCCAAACTCACATGGCAAGTAGGTATCAGAGTGTGGGTTATACCCACATCTGCCTGACTCCAGACTCTCAGTGCTGTGCTTTCCTGCCTGCTGCTCAGTAATGAACTCCACTACTAGGGACTACAAACTGCCACTCCAGACCTAGCCTCTAGCATGATTGTACTGCTTCTGACCTTGCCCCATCGCTGTTCACCCTTCATCCCCACCTATCCTGCCCAAATCCTTTCCCCTCGCTCCATATCCCCATGGGTGTGTGCCTTAACTTCTGCCAAGGCAGCCTCTCTTGCTATCCCTAGAGATTCTGCTGCAGCTGTGAGACCTAGAGTCCAGAGCTCCCATCCTCTTGGAGAGCAGCTCTCACACTGGAAAGAGCTGATGGTGCACCTGGAAGCTTGTTTTAAATGCAGGTTCTCAGACCTTGTTCCCAGATAGTCTGATTCAGTGAAACCTTCAAGTTTTGAAGGAGGAAGTCTAAGGAAACAGTTTTAGAAATGCTTGCTGCCTTACACCCTACCAGTCCCATCAGGACCCTCTGTGCCCACCTATGCTCTCTGTTACCATTGGTTTTGAACTGGGGAACACCTCAGGAGGGAAGAAATGCTGCTTCTAGTACTCCAGGGAGAGGTATGCTTATTTCATTGCCACTCCTCTTAACTGTGGTTCTTTTTACTGCCCCTTGCTTTTGCTCATCTCCTGAATTGGATAAAATTCTCAGAGGAAGACAGTGTCCCTCTTGTAACACTTGTTAACACTTTTGCAATTTTATGTTTATTTGTGTGGTTATCTTTTTCTGCTAGACTGTTAGCACCAAGAGAGCAGCAACCATGTCTGGGTTGCCTGCTATTGTGTCCTCAGTTCCTGGCACAATGCCTGACACCTAGTAGGGGCTCCATACATTGACTCAAACGCCCAGTTTCCATCAGGAGTGCAGTTAAAACTATTGCATATTCAGCCATGAAGATCACCTACTTGTATGGATTAAATTGACATTTGACAGCTCATAAATAGAGCACTTACTATTTTTTATAATTTTATGTTTTTGTGGGACTCCAAGCTTGTGACTTTGCTTTAGAAACATTGTTCAAAACCTATTTGTAAGCTAGGGGCTATATATGTGTTGCATTTGTATATGCAATAATTAGATATATATATATATGTACATGATATATATGTATGTATTATATATATATACATACACTTAACATTTTATCAAAAGGCAAGAGTTTAAATCCAAAAAGTAAATATGGAAAAATAGGTATCTCTCTAAATGTGAGTAGAACAACATGTAACACCCACATCCCAAACAAAATTATCAGAAAATCCATGGACATCTCAATTTCTTATCTACTGTAGGCAGTCACTGGTAATGCTTTCCATTTTGGTTTTGGTCCCTAATTACCTGGCAGAGAACACTAGTTCTAAATACAGTGTTTGTATAAAGCTAAAATAGAGTTTAATGGACTGTTGCTACTGTAATAAATGTTTCCAATTTCTGTTCTGCCATTGCTTTTGGAACACACCTTGGTCAGATTTTCACTTCTTCCCATCACTCTGCCAAAACCATTTCTGTCAAGGAGACCAGGGACTTCCTCAGTGTGAAATCCATTGGTGGATTCTCAGGATGTCTCTTACTTGATCTGTCAGGGGCATTTGACATGAATGGTGGCTCCCATCTACTTGAATTACTTTCTGTACCTACCTCCAGGTATTATGCTCTTCTGGTTTTCCTCCTATTCCCCCTTGGCCTCCTTTGCTAGGTTTTCCATACCTTTCCAAACTCTCAGTGTTAGCATACCAGAGGGACCACTTCCCTTTTCTATTTGGACTCACTACCTGTAGGTGGTCCCACCCAAACTCATAGTTTTTAATACAATCTACTTGAGTGGTGACTGCCAAACTTATTTTTCTGACCCAGACCTTTTATCTGAGCTCTAACCTCATATATCCTCCTCCTAATCAGTACCTTCACTTGGGTCTTTATACATATCTCACAATTAATGTGTTCTGAACTAGGTTCTGTGTCTTCCCCCACCAACCCTACTTCTCCCATAGCCTTCCCCATCTCAGTTAATGGCGATCCCATTCTCCTAGTTGCTCAGTCAGAACCCTTGATTCTTCTGCCATCTAAATTGTCAGATTATTAGATCACCTCTATCCAAAAACACCACTGAAATCTATCCAAGACCTTGCTGTTTCTTACCACTTCTGCTACTACTGTTATTTTCCTAGTCACTCTTCTCTCTCATCTGTAATGTTGTAGCAGCTTCTTCCCCTGCTCTGTGGCACTTTATCTTCCATAACAGTAATGATCCTATTAAAATATGAGTTATATCTCACCTCTGCTCAAAACCCTCCACTAACTTCTATCAGGGTATAAGCTAAAAACTGTCACAATGGCCTACAAGGTTATATAGCACTATTTCTCAATCTGTCTACCATAAAGAAGCAATTTTGTTTTGTTTTAATTTCTAGTTTGAAGTAGACCAATACTTGACAAATATATGATAAACACGAGTCACTACAGAGAGAACTTCCACTCTGGTCATGGTGATAACTGGTATCAGATTGGCTGTCCCACTGTAAACAACTAGAAAACTGGTCTGAACATAACAACTACTTTCAGAAACTAAACAGTAAGTAGGGCAGGACTGATCTCTGAGGGCAGGGAGACAAGCAAGGGAAGCCTGTGACTGCTCGGGCCTTCTGCCGGGAGGCATTTGTTAACTCTGATGCAGGAAACAAGCAGAGGAAGGCAGTTTTACTGAGAATAAGGAGGCGGATTGGCATTTGGGGAGGCTGGAGTTTGCTGAGGAGAATACCAGAGAGGAAGACCTGTTCAGAGAAAGAGCTCCATACTTCTGCAAAGAGGTCCCTTGAGCCTTTGGCTAGAAGCTAAGTTGTATTTGCATAGAATGAAGTTTTACAAGACCAGCAAGGACCAACTTCCTGGGAAAGAACAACTCCACGGATTTGAAGCAGCTACCACAACATGAGCAGTTGCTTGAGTTCCAATCAACCAGAGTAGCAAAACATCATTGAACACTTGGGGTATTCAGTAAAGACCCAGAAAGGCCACAGTTTAGGAGCAGTACAAAAATAGCTCTAGATGAAGATGACCCTAATGAAGCATAAACACAAGCCTCAGAAGGATCAAGCTCTCCCCAAGTAAATTAGCTGACTACCAGATTCTCTAGAGGAAGACAACAAAATCCAGACATTCACTAGCATAATATTCACAGTTGTCATCATCTGGTAAAAAAAAATGAGAAGACAGGAAGAAGCAGGAAAGTATGACCTGAAAGCAGGAGAAAATGATTCAGTATGAACAGAACCAGAAATAACAGATATGATATAATTAGCAAATGTGGAATTTTAAACAGCATTTATAATATAAAAAATATAAAGGAAAATGTGAATAATGAGAAAAATGGAAGAAGTAAAAACCCAAGTTTAAATAAAATTGGAACTTTTCTGCATATATATGTTCTAATTTAATAAAAATCTTTTAAATGAAAAAATAGAACTTCTAGAGTAATGGATGGTCTTAGCAGTAGATCAGATACTGCAGAAGAGAAGGTCACTGAACTTAAAGACATAGCAATACAAACTATACAAAATGAAGCACAGAGAAAAAAATGGCTGAAAAGTAAACAGAGCCTCAGTGTTCTGTGGACAATGTCAAATAGTCTAACAGAAAGGGGAGAGAAAAATTATTAAAGGGATATATATTTTTTCCAAATTTCTAAATACATTTTTTACAAATTTGATGAAAACTATAAACCCACAGATACAAGGAGCTCAACAAAGAGTAAACAGGATAAACACAGAGAAATCCACACCAAGGCACATCATGATCAAATTGCTGAAAACCTCTGATAAAGAGAAAATAGGACAAGCAGGTAGAAAAAAGAATGGTGTTACCTACAGGGGAACAAAGATAAGATTTTCTGATGATGTCTCATTAAAAACAATGCAAGCTAGAACAAAACAGAATGGTATCTGAAAGTGCTGAGAGAACTTTGTATTCTTCCTAAAATTTTAACATTTTCTAGATTTATCCACTGAAACGGTCTAGAAGCAGTGACAACCCAGGAATAATAGGCACCCCACTGCCCTAGTTGTGGTCTCCAAATACTCTTTTCAGTAAAGGAAACCTGGGATGCTTGAAAGACTAGTTGACTCCAAGATGGGGGTCAGGATATATACAGGATGAGACTGTGCCAGGCAAGTAAGCTGATAAGGTCTCATAATGTGGAACACAGGAGCCCACTGGCCAAAGATAGGACAAATTGAACACCAAAAAGATTATTGCAATGGATTGAAACACAGCCAGTACATAAAAATCTGTGAGTTCATAATGATACTAAAAGAGAAAACTCCTTGGTAACCGTTGGTAGTTGCTACTGCACTAACTCATTGTCCTAGATTTTGTTAATTAATAAGATGATATATCAACCATTTGTGTTAACCTTTCCTGAAAGAACAATATTTCAAGTTAAACAGAGGAAATTAAATGTAGAAAAGATGATTGGAAAATCAACATTTTCTACCCCTAATAAATAATGAATCTAGGCAAGAACCATCAGCAAATGTTAAAACCATTAGGCGGAAAGTTGATGGGGGACTTTATAATGGAAACATGTAACTAATAACATCTGAGTCTCTTGATCAATATTTATATTCCATTATGTGCCTCCTATTTGATTTGTAAGTGCACCATAATACCTATGACAGATTTTAGCCCCTTGTCATAAACAAAACAAAAGCAAAAACTTTAATCAAGCATCTAGATCTAACCACAGAGGATAGAGAAACAAATGGCATCACATGAAAAAAATCAGTCAAATCCAGAATGTAGGGAATGTTTTAAGATAACCTGTTTTCTTCACAAATAAATGACTCTAAAGAAACAGGAAAGGAAGAACTTTTTGTAGATTAAAAACAGAAAGATCCAAACAAATGCAAGGTGTGTGGACCTTTTTTGGTTCCTGATTTCAACTGTAAAAGTATATTGTTTAATTTTCAGATGGACCGAGTTTAAAAATTGTTAGTTTTTGTAGGTGGGCATTGCAGTTACATAAATTGAGTATTCCCAAGGGAAATAATACATTGTTTGGGATTTGCTCTAGCTATTCCTTCCTACATAAAAAGTTGGAGGAAAATAGACTGAAGTTGACAAAATGTTGGTTTTTTTTGAAGTTTGGTGATGGGTACGTGAAGGGTACTCATTAGATTGTCCTTTCTATTTTGTGCATGTTTTAACATTTCATAGTAAAAAATTTCTTTAAAAAAATCATGTGCTTATAATTAGCACTCACAATGTAGGAGGGTCACAGGGAAGGCTGTACAGCACGGAGAAGACAAATAATGACTCTGTAGCATCTTGCCATGCTGATGGATAGTGACTGCAGTGGAGTTGGCGGGGGACTTGCTATTATGGGTGAATGTTGAAACCACAGTGTTACTCATGTGAAACCTTCATAAGATTATATATCAATGATACACTAATTTTAAAAAATCATGTGCTTAAGGACCTTCCTTATCTATAGGAGAGACTCTCACGCAACATATATACAGGACCTGTTTTACTATGAGGTACAATTCTAACAAGTTTGGCTTAAGTACCAATTTTATGGGAGAAGAGAATGATGCTTCAGGCAGTATCCTTAGAGAAATTAAAAGGTTTAACTGGCATGTGGTAACACTGAAGACTCTTACATGTAGACAAAAGTCATAAAAAGCATTAGGGGGCCACTTAATGATGTTAAATAGACCCACTCGCCTGCTTTTCTGCCAGAGGGCATTCCCTAAAAGGTGCCTCCATCACAGAGCCCAAAACCTGGATGGGACTGGGTGGGCAAGGCTCCTTGGTGACCCCTCCTTGATTTCACCTTCTAGAGGGCTGTTGTGTCAGTCAGCCAAAGCTGTTTGCTGAGGAAAAGCTTTTGTTTAAAGGATTCTGTGAGATGTATTCGCTATGATCTAACACTGTATTTCATTATGATTGTGGTTTTTTGTTGTTTTCCTTACGATTTTTTATTATTCTTTGAAGTTAGCCCATTTAATCCATGTTCATTTCTCGCTGTGTTTGTGTTTGTGTCACACTTGCTGTCTTTGCCTCCATTGTTCCTAGGTTACAGTATAGCCAGGATATACCCAGTCAGTTGGCTGATGAGCATGCGCTGATAGCCTCCTATGTGGCCCGTCTGCAACACTGTGCACGGTCAGTGGTAGAGCAGCAGCAGGCGGGGAGCCAAGGCCTGATCAAAGGGAGGGCGAGCTATGTTACCCGGGGTTGCCAGCTGGAAAAAGCTCTCCATGTGGGGTTTTTCTTGAGAAGCTACCAGCTATGTTTGGCAGAGTTTAAATAATTGTTAAAGCATTTGCTTCTAAAAGTGGGGTGTTTGCCAAGCCTGGTTACTTACCTAAACCTATAGTTAAAATTCTCCTTTTAAGTGGTGTTCACTTCCTTCAGCTCATGCTTAAATAGTGTATAAACCTCCGAGAGAAATGCAGTCCTAAAGATATACATTCACAGAGGTATTTGATACAAACTCTTACTGCTCATTCTTGCCTAAATAATGAAATCTTTCTATTGACATTTAAAACTTGGGGTTGATCAGCCCACAGATATCTCACTTTGTCTGATCTTTGATGCCATCACCCTGTTACATATTTACATTGTACGTCTTCATTTCTTCCCCCAAATCTATTGTTGAGTATTTAAACCCATGCTTTTCAACAGTGGTATTGGATCACTGTCACCTGAAGGACTTTTCCCAAATGTTATATGCCCCCTCATATTGTAATAACTGTATGTATTACAGCCCCACATAACCCTTTCCCTGAAAACTACTGTGGTAGTTACTCACTGTTAATATGGGAATATGACTGATCCCGCAGTGGGTTAGGATGGAAAAACATTTGGAAGAGCCCAAAACCTGGACCAGATAACTGCTAACTACAGCAAAGTTAAAGCTTTAAAAGAGTTAATACCACACAAAGTGGTGTTATATTCAGGCAATCCCAAAGCCACCTGCCCATCCCATGTCCACACCCACCAACATTCTGTGAAGAGAATGACAGGTTAAGTTTAAATAAGCTAAAGCCACCTCTCTGCTTTAGCAGAGTACCAGCAGAGTAGAATTGCTATGCCAAATAACTCAAGATTCTTATTCTTAGGGAGAAAACCATAACTTACAAACTAAACACATAAGAGAGGTTGCAGCCTTAAATTTTAATTTTAGTTTTGTCCATAACATGCCATGTCTCCATGAGAAGGTCATTTGACTTTGTTCTTATTCCCTATGATAATAGAAGAATAAATTAATAATCAATGTGAAAAAAATATATATTTGAAAAAGGCATTTTAATATACTTAATACCATTTCCTATAATTTTCCCAGTATGACTAAGTAGCATTATAATTTTTAGGCATTTATCTGTAAAGCCTTAGAGAGACTGTAGAGTTCTCTTGCTTCCCAAGTGTATTTAATAGGCTTATTCTGTGGGAGGGGAGGAAGGGCCTGATAATTGTGCATTATATCACAAAGAGTGTCCCTTCATCCAACAGATGATTTCTGTGTGCTCTGTCCCAGCCCCTTGATCTCTAGGAACAGAACTGTCTCACCCCTGGCAGGACAGTTTGCTTATTGTCAATAAGGGCAATCGGACAGATAATTAAAAGTTTCCATGGTGAAAATAGCAGCAGAATCTTGGATATAGACTGCTACCTGATATTTCAGTCTAAGAATATTTATGGTAGGTTTAGCCAAGGTTCTCAAGTCTCACGGCTTAGGGATTAGACTCCCTGAGCAAGAATTGGTGGCCAGCAGCCCTGGGAGAACATGAGGATGGGGTGAGTACCGTACCTCTTCTTGATTTATATAGTCTAAGGAACTAAGCTTCATACTTCCTTGAAGAAGTCAGAAATGTCTTGACTAATTCTGAAAATAAAAGCTAGCTCAAGCAGAAGAATAAGGAACCTTTCTAACTTCCTTTGACCTTAAAGACATCTCATCAACATAAACTACTAGTTTCTGCTGGAAAGCATAGCCAATTAGAGCCTCCATGTCATCCACACTAGGGTATAAATGACAAATAGGATTAACCTTCCTGGGGAGATGGAATGTGATGAAGAAGGAGGAGCTCTTTTACACAGAAGAACCTATTGTATCCCTTGCCAAAAAGCAAAGGTTTGCTACTTAAAGTCCCTCTTCTTAGCCTGCCCGTTCCTCCATATTATCCACTTGTATTGTTAACTGTTCGTTTTTGTTGTTTATTTAAAAGATAAAGATGATTCTTGTATTTCAGGAAGACACTGTTAAGGCACAAATATTATAGTTCAACCCTGATAGGCCTATGACCATAAGCCAACTGATGGTAACATGTTCTTATTACAAGATCATCTTTTGAGAGGATGACTATGCATGCCGGAGACTGGCACACCTAAAGTTATAAAGTGTTCAAAAGTGTCATAGGCAGATGACTTAAAGCACATTAAAAAAAAAAAATCCATCCTAGACAGAAGACCAAGTTAAGCTTAAAGAATTAGGCACAGAGATGAAAATATAAAAAGGTAAAAAAATCTAGGGAAAATACAGTTGATTCTGTACATGAAAAGGTCAGAAAAATCTCTGTGGATTTAACTTTAACTTTCCCAGATTCCCCTCAGTGATTATAATAAGATTTAATGAGTATTGAATTTATGTCTACAGATTATTTTGTATTACTTATCATATATGCTAAAATCTAATCAAAGGTTTTTGGAACTCCAAGAACTAAGGGCCAAAGTAGAAGAAGCAAGCCACAATAGCCATCTCTGGTTAGTTAGTCATCATCATTGTCCTCTTAAAGCATCTGCCAGACTTAAGGAGAATCATAGCTACAGTCCCTATTAATCTAGGAGTGCCCTGATACGATAAATGACCATCGATGTAACATCCTAAATTAAAGGAGTCAATTATTTAATAATCAGTCAAAAGTTTATTGTATCACATACACACAGAGCTAACCTACTACTCAAGAACCCTTCTTTCATCCAGGTGCAGTCTTTAAAAGACCCTAGGTGGGTCTTTAATTTTTTGAGTGCTGCTACTTTTGTTAAAGAGTAATGGACTGAAATAATTCACTCCAAGATAGGGCTATCGTTTGGGAATAAGCACAGTAAAAGAAGAGAAAGAGGCACTGAAAGAGAGTGTTAGATACCATGGAAACTTCTCCAACTTTACCATATACTGGGCCTGCCTAAGTCTGGGTTCCTCAGTTCTGTTCAGCCAGTGTTAAGTGTACTTTTCTCAGCCCTCTGTTTTTCACAATGCTTTAGTGTTCTCTTGCTTTTTTAAAATTCAAGACCTATTTCTAAAAGTCAAAAGTTTTTCCAAAACATTTGATTAGAAACCCCTCTCTCAGACTTTTAAATGCCCTGTATTTTCTCAGCCCTTGCATCTAAAAAGAAGTGCCCCTGTGATATTGTAGGCGCAGTGGGGATATGCTGCTGTAAGCAAATGACACATGTGGCCACATTGTTTCTCTAAATCTCCTTTGTCTCTGAAGACCATTAGTATCTGTGACCCACACCTTCATTGTTTTTGTTACCATTCTTCTTTCTCCCATCTGTTCTAAGTGAGAAGCAAGAATAGGAGATTTAATAGACATCTGTTGAATTTTTTTCTCCTTCACAGTGTCCTGGACAGTCCTGGCCGGCTGGATGAGGAACACCGACTTATTGCTCGCTATGCTGCCAGGCTGGCTGCAGAGGCAGGAAACATGGTGAGTAAATACAGGATCCCAGGAGAGTAGCAGAAATCAACATTACTTTAATATAAAAGTGGTAGGGGAATGATAAACATGAAACTCAGGAGAATGGGTACTTTGGGGACAGAAGGAGAGGAGTAAGTTTAGGAAAGGGATTACAGTGGCCATTAATTTTATCTACAGTATCTTTTTTCTTTAAAAAATAAGAAAAGAAAGTCAAAGAGCCAGAATTTGGTTCTTTAAAGAGATAAATAAAATTAATAACTCCTAGAAATCCTGATCAAGAAAAAAGGAAAGAAGAAAAAAACACAGATTATCAGTATCACAAATGAAAGAAGAGACATTGCTACAGATCCTATAGACATTATAAGGATGATAAAGGAGTATTAAAAGCAGCTTTTTGCCAATAAATTTAACAGTCTAGATGAAATAGACAAAATCCTTGAAAGATAAAAATTAACAAAATTGACATAAAAATAAATAGAAAATCTAAATAGTCCTAAATCTGTTAAAGAAATTGAATTCATAATTAACTTTTCATGAAGAAAACTCCAAGCTCAGATGGCTTACCTGTTGAATACTTTGTATATTTAAAGAAAAAATAATAGCAATCTGACATTAACTTTCAGAAAATAGAGGAAGAAGGAAACACTTTCCTAGTCATTTTATCAGGCCACTAAAACCTGATATCAAAACAACACAGGGCCATTATAAGAAAAGAAAATTATTAGCCAAATTCTCCTATGAACATGAAAAAAAATCCTTAGCTGTTAACAAGTTGAATCCAGCAGTATGTAAAAAGAATAATACTCCATGATCAAGTGAGATCTATCTTAATCCAAATTTAATCAATACATAAAACCAGCCAATGTAATTTACCATATGAACAGTTTAAAGAAGAAAATTATAAGATCATTTCAATAGATACAAAAAAATGTGACAAAATACAATATCCATTTACAATAAAAGTTCTCGATACAGTTGGAAAAGAAGAAACTTCCTCAGCCTGATAAAGAACACCTACAAAAAACTACAGCTAACATTATACCTTAATTCTAAATTTTGTCATATTTTCCCTACCTAATATTGAGAACAAGACAAAGATGTCCAGTTTTCCAACCTCTATTCAAAACTGTACTGGAGATCGCAGACAGTGCAACATGACAAGAAGAAAAGGGCATAAATACTGGAAAGGAAGAAGTAAAGCTGTCATTATTTTTGGATGACATGATTGTTTATAGAAAGTCCAAGGAATCTACAAAAACACTACTGGAACAGATAACATGACTTTAAAACAGAGTTGCAAAATACAAATATTCAATATACAAAAACTGATTGTATTTTTGTTCTTCTGGCAGTGAACAATTATCAAGTTTAGGAAAAATACCATTTACTATAAGATTTAAACAACATCAAATACTTATGGATAAATTTAATGAAAGATGTTCAAGATTGAAAACTATAAAATATTGCAAGAGAAGTCATAGTAAAAAAATGGAAAGGTATGCCATATTCATGGACTGAAATATTCAATATTGTTAAAATGGCAAATTTCTCCAAACCAATCTGTAGATTCATACAGACCAAAATCCCAACAGACTTTTGTAGAAATTGGCCAACTGATTTTAAATTGTATTTGGAAAGCCAAAGGACTTAGAAAAACCAAAACAGTCTTGAAAAAGAACAAAGTTGGAGAACTTAACCCTACTTGACGTCAACACTTACTATAAAGCCACAGGAATCAAGAAAATGCGGCATTAGCAAAAGGATAGGCAAATAAGTCATCCATAAATAGATTCACATGTACAAGGTCAAATGATTTTCAGTTGGGAAATTGAAACACAAAGGAAATTCAATTGGGAAGGGAAAGTCTCTTTAACAAATGCTGCTGGAACAACTATTAAATGAACAAACCCTCAACCTCTACATAGAAGCTTCACACCGTACACAGAAACCAATTTGAAATGTACCATAAACTTAAAAGCTAAAACCATAAAGCTGCTAAAAGAAATCTTAGAAAAATATCTTCATGACCTTGGTGCAGGCAAAGAATTCTTGGAGAGGCTACAGGAATTACAAACCATTTTTAAACACCTGATAAATTGGACCTTACCAAAAGTAAAATCTTTTGCTCATCAAAAGATACTATTAAAAAATAATTAGACAAACTACAACCTGGTAGAAAATATTTGTAACATAAGTCTGACGAAAGACAAAATATATAAAGAACTTCTGCAGCTCAGTAATAAAAAGACAACTCACATTTTTTAAATGGTCCAAAGACTTGGACAGACACTTTACAAAAGAAGATATACAAATGGCTAATAAACATATAAAAAAGTGCTTGATAACATTACTCATCAGGAAAATGCCAGTTATAACCATAATGTCCCACTAGAATGACTAAAATGAAAAAGATTGAATATCAGATGTTGGAGAGGATTTGGCACAATCAGAAATCTCTTATATTGCTGGTGGGCATGTAAAATGGTACAGCAACTTTGGGAAACTATTTAGCAGTTTCTTAAAGAGATAAACATTTATTCTGTGACCTAGCAGTTCTTCTCCTAGGTATTTATCCAGGAGAAATGAAAACATATGTCCACAAAAGCTTTTGTACAAAGAAAATTCATAGCAATTCTACTCATATCAGCTGGAAACCTAGATCTTTATCATCACAAAAACAGATAAAATCTGTTATATTCATAGAGTGGAATATCAACACAAAAAGAAATGAACACTGATACATGCAACAACATACATGAATATCAAAAATATGATTGACAGAAGCCAGACAGAAAAAAGCACATACTATTTGATTCCATGTATATAACAGTTCTAGAATAGGCAAAACTAATTTATGGTAATGGAAATCAGATCAGAAACTATTTTGGGGAATGGAGATATTGACAGGGATGAGGAAAACTTCTGAATTGATGGAAATGTTCTGCATTTTAATAGAGGTATAGGTTATATGAGTTTATGCATTTGCTTAAGGTCTGAACATTATATCTCAAGTAAAGAACAAAAGAACCAAAAATGGTAAATTTGTAAGAGTTTGTATTGAGAAATGGCTACCTGGTGATTTGTCATGGGTTTCCTGTAATATTGAAATAATTCATTAAAAAATATTCCCTTTTTTCTTCTGTTTTCAATCCTTTACTTTCTTTGAAGTTATGCACATATTAAAATACATGCTCTTCCCCTCCAGGCACACATTCATTTTATTATTTGGCAAATATTTATTTTGTTTCTGTGATGTGCCCAGTTGAATATTCTGATGAACACATGAAACCTGCCCTCGTGGAACTAACAGGCTAGAGAGAGACAAGCATCAAACATTAAACAAACATTAAAATAATCACACTATTGATATAATTACAAATAAATGCAATGAAGGAAAAATACAGGGAGGTCTGAAAATATATAACATATCCCTGATCTATACTGGAGAGTAAGGGATAGCTTCTGTGACTGTGACTTAAGTTGGGATCTGAAAAGTCAAAGAGATTTCAGTTTCCTGGAACCTGAAAAGGACTGAAAACCAAAGCAGCCCACAGGCTGCTATTGCTGCCATTCTCGCCTTGTGCTTGGGTTTTTACTGTCATGGAGTGCAGTGGGTAACACCTTGTGCATATGCAAAGTACAGAGTTGGAAGCAAGCCTTTCACATTAAGCTAGGCCCCTGAAAACATTAACCTGGTGAAGGTATGGTATAGAAGATGACCATCTGCCAACACAAAGATAAGAAAGCTTGTGGTTCTTCTCCTTCTATTGAAGTGGAAGAAGGAGGTTTTCCCTGGAAATTTGCAACCTTAGGCCTGTCTTTACTCCTTATGCCTGTCTTTGCTTCATAGTTTGAGAAACACCAAGGTGAAACTTTAACATAAAATTAACCTCAGGGAATCTAAGGGAAACAAAATGGAAATCCCCTGCTGAGGTTAACATTCTCAATTGAGGCCTAGCAGTATTCCTACAGAAAGAGTCCAACTAAACATGAACTCCTAAGCCAATAATGCAAAATTAGGTCCTTAGTGACTTCAGATGCTACGATTATTGGCTATAAAATGAATATGCTTAAAAAAGACCTATAAAATGGAAGTAAATACATGATGAAAGAAAAGACTCTAAAAGGACCAGAGTTGAAAACCAAATAGAACTTAAACATTTTAAAAACAAAAGTTATTGAAATTAAAAACTCATTGTTTTTAATGAGTCACATTAGACACAGCTACATAGAAAATTAGTGAACTGGAAAATACAAGTGAGAAAGATGGAAAATTTGAAACAAGGTTTTTAGACATAAAGAATAGAGAACCACCAGTCATCTAATTGGAGTTTCCAAAAAAAGAAAGAAAATAGAATTATTTTCTATTAGGATGAGATTTGAAGAACTAATGACTGAAAATTTCCAAAATTCATTCACAGCAAAAATCCTCAGATTGAAACATTACAATAAGTCCCAAAGTGGATAAAAATAATTCCGAATCTAGATAAATCATGGTGAAACTGCAGAATAGAAAGACAAGATCCTCAGAAGTCAACCAGAGAAGATGTACTACCTACAAAGAATTTTGGTAATTAGATTTCTCAACATCAACAACAGAATAATGTTTTCATAAACAAGCTTTATTTTAAAATATTTTATTATATCCAGTGCTGCTGTTTGTGATGAAACTAAGAATTTTCTTTATGAAGAAAGCCAGTCGAATACCTTTAATGTACTGAAAGTAGCTACACTGTCAAGCAAAATGAGAAATAAAGGCCTTTTCTGAGAAGGATTGAGAAAGGTCCCACTAAGATTCATGCTAAAAGAAAAATACTGATAACTAACATTCATTGACTACTATGTGCCAGTCATCATTCTCAGTGCTTTGCATATATTAATATTAGCTCATTTATTCTTCAGAACAGCCTTAAGAGAAAGTTAAGATTCAAAAAGGTAGGGAAACTACCTAAGCTTATATAGGTTGTAAGTTGTTGAGCTGTAACTGGGATATTATTCTATCAACTGCT